GAGAACCCGGCGTGCTCCGTCCCGGCTTTGTAGGGATGCGAGGTCAATGGTCTAACGACTACGGCATGCACGACTATGGGTACACCCCTCTAAACAGCTTTTCTTTTTAAACAAAAAGCGTCCCTACCGGGCCACTTCTCTTGAAAATAAACTACTATTATAATACTCGCCGGATTGAGGGGCCAACCTCAACTTCAAAACAGTCAGTGGGTATTTCCCCGAACGATACCTCGCGAGACAGTTGTCAATACAGTACGGACTACTTGTAAAGTATTTATTACGTTCGCCAATGCGTAATGTATAACAAGGATAAGAAAATTAATGGATCGATATCCTTTGACTGCTGCGTTTCACATTGTCGAGGGTGTGCTTACGATCCCGAACAGTGCGGGTTTTTTTCTTCACAGGAGTGCTTTCCTGTGCTAGGTTCCTGAATAGAACGGAAAAATACTCAGATCCCTGACTATGGTAGTAGCCGCATTTTTTTACCCTGGGCCGTGCAATGCGTGTGCTTCGTACTATCTTCTGTCCAATGTTGCCAATCCTCCGCGGTATGTACCGAGGTTGATTAGGTCGTTAGCCCGTCGGGCTGTGTTGTGTTGATTAGTCCGCCCTGTAAGAGCCAAACTTGGTGCTGGGGAACCCTGTCGCTCTGATTGTCAACCCGCTGGCCCCGTTTCGCTTGTCGCAGATAACAACTGTCCACGTCGACGGGCCGTACAAATTCATCGTCACGACCGACATGGACAACTACAACTTTGAGAACGCGCGCTTCGAGGTGAAGGGCGGCGCCGACCTCACCTTTGCAATCGAGGGTGGTTTTTCCTTCAACTACGCCGAAAGCCAGGTGAGATCTTGGTGCGGCGTGTTTTCCTTAAAGAGTCTCTCCATCCCTCCCATTACATGTAGGCGCCTATCCCTCTGCATTTTTCTCCCCCAAGCATGACCTTTTGGAATCGAAAATAGCCCGTTGAGAAACAAACCTCTACCGGCAAGAACAAATTTGAAAGCAGCCAGGGCTGCTGGTAGAGAGTTTTTTCATCCAGAATGAAAACAAACGCTCCCCCCAGCTCCGTGGTGCTTCCGTAAGCAACAACGAGAAAGAAGCTACTACATTATCCGTGAAGACGTTTGCCCTCGAATGTATAGCTCAGCTCCGCGTCTTTTGGTCGAACATGATGTGTGCGAATACAGAGCGGTTGTGGCTCCTAGTCACAGAATGTGCGCCACTACGTCACCGGGAAAGCTTAGTTTGGGCGGCGATCCATGACGAACCGTCACCCAAATCATTGGGACAAAGCTGGGTACGCCATGACACCCTTCATCACCCCCTGTCGTTGAAAGTAGATAGAAAGCGAGCACCGCAAATAATATTTCAGAGCAGAAGGCAGGCTTCAAGGTACCTGTCGCGACGTGCTGCACCACCTGACCCACGAAAACCCATTGCATAAAGGGCTTGTCCGTGACCATTTCGCGCTTCATCCCTGGGGCACTTTCCTCAATGGCCCAACTGTTAGTCCCTACGTTTTTCGTTTTCCTGTGTGTTTCGTTGTGTTTCGTTCGCTTTCGCCGCGATTCTTTGATGTTAAACAGGGAACGGACGGTGGGGCGATCTACGTGGAGAGCGGTTCGTCTGCGACTTTCGACGTGCCCAGCAAGGTCAACTTCGAGGGCAACACCGTCGAAGCCGGGTACTCCGGGGGAGTAGTGTACGCAGGCGGAGAGGTGAGGAAGGAGGTCGTCCGTTCCTCGTCCTGCAGATGTAGACGTGTGCGCCACACGAATCAGGGCGCTCCACCGCACGTCTACTGTGTTTGGAAGGCCTCCTGTTTTCGGTGCCTTCCACCTTGGGGAGGCCTTGGGCTTGGGACTCTCGTTGTGCCTGGGGTCTTCGTCCTGCAAAAGACCGTTCTAGCTCGAGCGGAGAGACAGAGTACACCACGTCGATCGAGTAGAGTAATTGGAATGTGGCACATCCAAACCAGGGATGGCGGCACCGATGGCTAAGCAGTCACCGGATTCAACAGGAGCACACCCTCGCTAGTTCCAAGAAAATATCTACGGCTCTGAAGTCCTCGCAGTATGCAAACGGCTTTGTTCTCCCCCTCCTCTTTCCAACACCGTGCAATATCTAGCTTCTAGTAACGTGAACATGCTACAATATCAGGAATTGCCGCTCACAGGTTCTCAACACGTGGTCGTGCGTCCTCTCCCGCGACCCTTGGCTAGCAGGAAGCCTATGAAAAAGTTGATGGTGCACACCAGCGTAGATGAGTTCTTCAAACGACAGGACCCTCCAACTCCAGACGCTATCTACATGGCAACCTCGTCATGGGTGCAACGCGACCCAAGCTTCGTTCGCCCTCGTGAGCTCCCGACATTCGGCAACCTTTTTCGCTCAGGAGAAATCCTTTCGTTATTTTCCCTCATCTCGTCTGCGGTGTATGTATGCCTCTGTCACCCCTAAGAGGCATCTGGTTTCCATGCCGCCGCCAAAAGAACCGCTCCAGAACAATATCAACGTCTCGTTGCTTCTTCCCGTATCGTGAACTTGGGGTGCGGTTTTGAGAACTGACGCGCTGGATAACAGCAGCATCAAAAACAACAACAACGTGCTAGCTAAAGGCAGCTTGATGTTGCCTACCCGGGTCGGTAGCTGTTTCTGACTTGACTCCATGCTGGCGCTACGGGCAGGTGGTGTTTACCGGCGACGCGGTGTTCATCTCCAACGAAGCCCGGAGCTCAGGGGATGAACCCGCGGGATATGGCGGTGCCGTTGCGGTTGGCCCTGAGGGAAGCCTTGAGTTTCAAGGGGCCTTGGAGTTCACCGACAACAAGGCTCAGAGCGGCGGAAGTGGAGGAGCGATCGCAAACTTCGGCTCCTTGGTTTTCCGGAGGAAGAGCTACTTCTGGTTCAACACCGCCGCTGGTACGTCTTGTCACCTACGCACTCCTGTGCTTTTTCACCTACTTGTGGAAGCGGAGCTAGATTACGTCATCGTTGTCACGCGTGCTCACCACACTTTTTATTCATGTTCGTCCGAGGTTCATGCACTGGTTGTACCTGATAATACCCTGCAAAGAGTTGTGTTGAAACTGGACTCGGCTGGACGCATACGGAAAAAAAAAACACCTGAAACAAGTACCCGACAACGCTATGTTTTCTTTTCTACCTAACAGTCCTGAGATTATCTAGCTCTATCTCTGCTTTCGTCAGACACGACGTGACTTACTGTGCTCGTTTTCCTCGCCTGTGCTATCCCTTTGGCTTCAACAGTACGAATGGCCTTAGGCGCGTGCGGCGTGAATATTGTAAACATACTAGCGCAGAGAGTTGAAGAACCGGATCGCACGGAAGTTGATGGCTGTGGCCAATCGCCCACCCAAAAATGATCGTTTCTCCGGAGAAGAGGAGCACGCGGGTCAAACGGTACCCCTTGACCAACAGATCCTAGTCCAATCACTTTCCCGATTGTTCCACTCACCTAATGCCGCCCACCCACCCTCTCTCTCTACCAACCTTGCTTAGAGGACGCCAATGGAGATGGCGGTTTCGGCGGGGCCATCTATGCCGGGTATGGGTCTACTACCGAGTTTTTCAGGAGGACGATCTGGTTCTACAGCGAGGCCGCCAGCGGGGGCGCGCTCTACAATCTCGGGGAGGTCATGCTGTACAGCAACGGGTTCATCAGGGGCAACAAGGCCATGGTGAGGAGGGGCGACAAGAGTCGGTTGTTCGGACCAACGGCGCGTACAAATCATATCCACGCGCGTTCTTGTTGGTGTACGAGGTAGCATCGTTTCGCGCGTCGCACGCAGCAGAAGCTGGAGGTGCTGTGTTGATGACGTGCGTGGTGAGAAGTTCGTTGTTTGAGGGGCGTGGTGGCCAGTGGACGGGCCGTTGAGCTCTCAGCCAGTGTTGAGCCACCGACGTGAACCTGCCGCCGTTTCAGGTTTCGCTCTGGAGCATTTGCTTGGATATCTAAAACCTAATTTTCATCTCATGTGTACGGGCCGCTCTTCCGGTACACGGAGTCGTACTTTCGTTTTCGTAGCCTGCAAGACATGAAGGTTCTGAACCCCTACCGCCTTGCTGCTCGTCCAAGCAGGGTAGCGTCAAGGCAGAAGGGGGACATATCTACAACTTGGCATCTGCCATTGGTGGCGAACCCACTTACACCGGCGGGCAGATACAATTGAACGGTGACAAGGTCAACTTTCGTGAGGGCGAGGCCAAGCGTGTAAGTGGAGTTTTGTTTTTACACTGTTAGAGAAGCTGGGAGATTGAGTAGAGATGCGTAGGAGGTTGTGCGTTGGAAGCATCGTTCGAAAAGCAGAACCTACTCTAAAAGCCGCGCCAGCACCTGGTGGTGGTCCACGAAGTCGAACCCCGTCTCCGACCTACAATGCGAGCGGCAACTTGTCATCAGGACAAGGACGACTGGCAACGAACACAGTCAGTTGCAGCCCAGGCACACCATGATTATCAAGCATCTGGTTCCAACGACTCATTAGCGATCGGCTGCCTGAAAGTGCTTTCTGCCCTATCGCAGGGCGGAGCCTATTTCTCTGGCGGTCCGGGTTCGTCCTTGTCTTATCACACCGCGCCAAATCTCTTCGACAACTCCGCGGTAAGTTGGCTCTTTGCTCGTTTGTTTGCGTTGTTGTGAAGTATGTGGATGATCGACACTTACATGCGGTGTAGGGAAGACGAGAAAGCTTGTTGGGGTACTTTCAACTCTGGTTGTCCTTGGAACGAAAACTGCCTGTACTATGTACGCATCGCCTTTCGAAGGAAAGGTGAACCCTTTGTGGAGAAAAACATTTCGGGCGTCTGGTAGAGCCAGACTGCCGACCTGTTGGCGAGCTATCGTATCTTTAAAGAAGTGACGATCCGTTGGTGAAGTCAAGGCATAGTTGCACTAAGTGCCGCCGTGAGCGTCACCGTCTTCCTTTTGTCCTTCTCGCACTTCTGTGTCGGAGCGATTGACAACTAACTGTTCGAGCATCTGCGGTTGCTGCAGGAACAACTGCTGTAGGCTATGTACGCTGCGTACATTGGATCCTCCTAAGCTAGTTTTCTGGTCTTGCACTGCTGTCGCCGTTCGTCGGACGGACCATCCACCCTGCTCGCCATCTCCGTCACCTTCCCCTCCGTGTCTCTCACGCACCGAATTTTGCATTTCGTCCTCCCGACACGACGACGACGACGGTGATCATGACGACACCTCCTTCAACGGAACGCCCGGCACGAACGATCAACCAAACAACAATTTGCTTTGTTTCGTCCCAACTCTGCGCGGCTCTCGTAACAAATAGTCCGAGTACTGCGATGACTATGCCAGCGGGAACACGGACCCCCCCACGTGCAGCAGCTAACGGAGGTCTCTACGTCCAGCTTCTGCCAGAAAGCGACTACCGTTCCAAGCTTCACTGTGGGGATAGAGTAAAACCTCGAAGCGATGAAAAGGAAGCTTTCTGGCGCGTATGGGACTGCATGAGGTTCATTGTAACTACTCTCTGATGAGAGCGAAATATGTAGTCACGAGATCAATAGTTTCATAAGCGAGAGGCTGGTTGTTTTTCAATAGGTTCATAAGCGGGAGGCTGTTTTTTGTTCTTGCCCATGGGTTTGTCGTGGTTTGGATGCCGAGGGATAGCGGTACCACCGGTAGTGTGGTTTTGTAGTGTCATCCTTGCGGACCAACCTTCGCAGGTCCCGCTCGGGCTATTGAGACCACCGATCTGTCGCTAAATGAGACATCATAGAATTTTTCATCCAGCAACCAATTAGCCTGCCTTATCTCTATGAAGACTGGCGTTGCAACAACGAACGCGAGGCTGAAGTCTTGAAAGATTTGAGAGAGTGCACGACAGTCGGCTCGTTGATCCTTGTTGGCAGGCGTAGGCAACGAATCGACCCTCGGCACTAAGCCAACGCGCACTGCTCGTGATTTGTGTAAATTTCTGAAGTACAATTGGTCAGCAACATACACATTGACGTATCGTTTCGTGGCTAGAACGGGGTCACGACTTATTCTCACAAAATCTGTTGCTTTGCGGTCCGTACGCGGTTCTGAAGGTCTCAAAAAGCGGATACCCTTGGCCCTCTGATTCCGATCCCCCTACCATTGGTCTTCAGGGTCTCAAATGCTCATCTCGAGCGAAGATGCGGCTCTCGAGGGAATTCAAGTTTGCCTCGGTAGGGAACCCCAAACCAATGTCGCCTCTCCCTGAGATTCAGCAGTTTCCACCTCCTGTGGCGGCGACGAGACTTGACCTGGTCTATTTCGCAATCCAAATAGCGGCCGTTGAACCGGGTCGCCTCATGAAGGGTGATCGTCTCACGAAATTTCTTTTTGCAGTTGGACATGTGTTTGGATTCTTCTCTGCAGAAATCGTGTCGCTTCAGCTAGAAGCTGCACATTCTCGGGGGTGAAGACCTTGGTGACAATGCACATCTCCTATGGGCGGTGGCACCATTGTTTGGTGGTGTATTTTGTAGTGAGAGCTGCATTGTTCAACCTTGGATTCTGCAATAGTCTATGCCACATCTGAGCACACGCGAAGTGTATCCGGCTGATTTTTGTGAGCTGGTGCGCTGCTGCTCCTGCACTTGCTGTATTCAAAAGTGTGTCAGTTTCCGTTGGGTCGCTGCAGTACGGTCGTGGTTGGGTGCCGCAGAAAGTACATGATGCGCGTGTTGTGCTGTGCGTGGCCAACAACAGGAAAAGCACTCAGTGTCGACCAGCTCATAAGACGCGAACGAATGAGCACATCATTCAGATGCGGCATTCGGACCGATTTCGTCTTCGCGAGTCCCCTCCAAGGAAGCTACATAATTCCGCACGTTGATTGTAGTGTTTCGTGTTGTCGAAAGACGTGGTTTGGAGGTAACCCACAGTTTGGAGGTACCCCACAAACCAGCCTTTGTGTACGACTACCGCGTGGTGTTGGTTTTTTGTTATCAAAGCGCCATCGGCTTGGAAGTATGCATCTACTAGCACGCATGTAGATAGCCGAACGCAGTGGTAGGAACGTGGACTTTGATCGAGCCGGTCGACGATTGCGACTAGTCGGCGGCACGTCGGCAGGATGAACGGATGCGGAACGCCAGATGAGGAGAAACACGTTAGTTTGGGACCACGCGGCGATTGAGCTTCGACGGGATAGAACCTGTTTCGTACGCCCTCCCGAACGATGAGGTTGAGCATAGGAATGTTCTTGTATGCAGCCTAGTCCAAATGACCGTAAACAGTACCAGGGCGGGTAGACATGAATACGCAACCAATGAGACATGCAAAGTTTTTACTTTCAAAGGAGCCGGCACAAAAACATTAACATTGGCTGGCAAAAAGAAGAAAGGAGAAAAAAGACACACATGCTCCGTCGAAAACGTCATGCCAAAGCTTTTGGCGTGTTCGGAGTTGTACGGCCAGCACCACTTAATCAAGCGCATTGCTGTGCGGTGAGGATGAAGCACCGAGTCGTGATCGGCGTGATGGAGCAAAGTGTGGAGGAACAATCATTCTCGGTAGTCTACACACGATTATCGTGCTCGAATACCGCCCCCAGGCTACCGTTTTTCTTGGTTTGTGTTGTCCGCTATGTACCTATTTCTGAGATTCCGACAGGCGGCGTTCTTATCTCTATTCTTGATTGGTCGTTCCGGGTTTTGTAAGTGTCTTGTGTTCCAGGACTCGGATGTTGCAATGGTATCTATCTCTGCCAGGATCTGGATGTACAAAGGATACGGACTGGTTAGATCTACCGCCAACAACAGAGGGCATGCAGATGGGGCATATGTACACCTTGAAATCGTTGCATGTGCGGGGACCCCTCGAACTCCAAAGAGGGCTTCACTTCTCCCTCCTCCCCTTGCGTGTCTAATACAAGAGATAAAACGTCTTCCCCTTCCAAGTAAAGGACATATACGAACACACTAGTGTCAGTCCCTCGATGGAGAGTCCATTAGGAATGTCAGGTCGCAAAGATGGGGGTGACTCCTCCAGCGACTCTGCGGCGGAAGACAGAAAGAGGTCAAGGGAAGAGCTCGTGGCCCTGAGGACGAAAATTAGCTCGCTGACGGATCAGATGAGCCAGCCAATGTCACTAGTGGAAGATACCATGAAGGCGATCAAGGACAAGCTGGAGCAGGGGAAAGGAAAAGGGGCGAAGGGCGCAGAGCAAGCGTACTTCGCCGACGGTGAGGGCCGCAGGGAGCGGTACTCAAGTAGGAGTCAGGGGCAAGGTCGTGGTCGTGGCGGCGGCCGTGGCCGCAGCAGCAGTCGTGACCGCGGTGGAGGCGGTCGTGGCGGCCGCTCAGGCGGATCCGGAGGAGTCGAGGAGAGCAAGGGAAGAAACAGTGGAGGCGCCGAAGGCGGCGGTGGCGGGGACTATAAGTTCCCGGGCCGGTGCTTTAGGTGTGGACATCGTGGACATCAAGCGACCGGCTGCACTACCAACGAGAAGGAAGGACTTCGTGCCGTGGTGTGCGCGCTGCGAGGGGTGAGGCCACGCCAAAGAAAAGTGCGCGACGGAGGAGGCCGTCCTAGCGCAAGTGGTGGAGCATGAGAGCGACGTGGACTCCGTGGAAGACCAGGCGTTTTGTGCCGTGGCAGTCCCCCCAGGCGAGTGTGGTACCGTTGGTGAAGTAGGTCTAGTGGGGGTTGTGGAACAAGGCCAGGCGGTGTACGTGGCCGACACAGCGGCCACGTGCTCCATGTTCCGATGTGCAGACAACTTCGTGAACTACCGTGAGCGTAGCGGTTGGGTGAAGGGGATCGGAGGCGACAAGGCCCCCGTTCCTCTTCTAGGATAAGGAGATGTGACCTTAGTCCTACAGACGGAAGATGGTGGAGTACCCGTACCAGTACTGAATGCTGCCCATGTACCAGAGGCCCCCTACAACCTCCTCTCGCTGTCTTCGTTGGCGGAGGAGCGCCACACGTATTCGAGGATGAAGGGGGGCCTCACGCTGACCACGAAAGCCGGGGGGGAGGTGTGGTTCCCCCGGACTGGAAAGCTGCTGACCCAACGAGGCTATCAAATAAAGCCAACGCTATACACCGCTTGTGCCGCACTCATTGTTCCTATCGATGCGAAAGCAGTCACGCCCACTAACCTTGTTTGCGGCCTACGCCACTTATTTATCGGGTGAGACTGTTTTGGTGATGTATTAACTTCACGAGAGGTCGACGACCGTCCTTCACACGGACGAAAGAGGGAGTGCTCAAAGAGCGGCTCCCACAGCAAGGAGGGGCCCCGTGAATCATCGCGGTGACCCTACCAAACGGTAATCTTACCAGTCTGCGTGACACAAAATCATCCAGCACATGTATCCAGCAACAATGTTCGCAGACCCAAGAACACCCTCCCTGGTTCTTCACGCAAGTGACTAACCATCAATTGGGCAAGAACGCCCCTGGATACATCAGAAAATACCAACATGGTAATACATGGAGGGGAAAACCCGGCGTCCGGGCAAAACCCCTCAAGAAAAACCTACCACCACAAAAAACCGTCGCTATCACAGTGGATCACAACGGCCGCACTTATTAGAAAGGCCAAGGCGAAGACAAGAACGCGAGGAACTACGTTCCCCCGGACGATGGTCTCCCAACGCCCCCTACTCCTGCCATTGGTACACAGACCGCAACAGTTATGCGCCTTTCCCCGCACGGAAAAGATGGCCTCTCCCAAGTGCTAGAAACTGCTACAGCTACTCCGGCAAATTCATCAGCTTGCGCCGGTGATACTGCAGACTGGCCCTGCTAAGGGCCTTGGTGAGGAGGTCCGCGTGTTGCTCCGTTGTCGGGACAAACT